AACATTATGAGATGCATAACACCAGTCTGTGAGATGGTACAACCAAGACAAGGTCACTGCACAACACCAGTCTATGAGATGGTACAACCAAGTCAAGGTCACTGCACAACACCAGTCTGTGAGATTGTACAACCAAGTCAAGGTCACTGCACAACACCAGTCTGTGAGATGGTACAACCAAGTCAAGGTCACTGCACAACACCAGTCTGTGAGATGGTACAACCAAGACGAGGTCACTGCACAACACCAGTCTGTGAGATGGTACAACCAAGACAAGGTCACTGCACAACACCAGTCTGTGATATGGTACAACCAAGACAAGGTCAACAACACCAGTCTGTGAGATGGTACAACAAGTCAAGGTCACTGCACAACACCAGTCTGTGAGATGGTACAACCAAGTCAAGGTCACTGCACAACACCAGTCTGTGAGAGGTACAACCAAGTCTGTCACTGCACAACACCAGTCTGTGAGATGGTACAACCAAGACGAGGTCACTGCACAACACCAGTCTGTGAGATGGTACAACCAAGTCAAGGTCACTGCACAACACCAGTCTATGAGATGGTACAACCAAGACAAGGTCACTGCACAACACCAGTCTGTGAGATGGTACAACCAAGACAAGGTCACTGCACAACACCAGTCTGGGAGATGGTACAACCAAGACAAGGTCACTGCACAACACCAGTCTGGGAGATGGTACAACCAAGACAAGGTCACTGCACAACACCAGTCTGTGAGATGGTACAACCAAGACAAGGTCACTGCACAACACCAGTCTGGGAGATGGTACAACCAAGACAAGGTCACTGCACAACACCAGTCTGGGAGATGGTACAACCAAGACAAGGTCACTGCACAACACCAGTCTGGGAGATGGTACAACCAAGACAAGGTCACTGCACAACACCAGTCTGTGAGATGGTACAACCAAGACAAGGTCACTGCACAACACCAGTCTGGGAGATGGTACAACCAAGACAAGGTCACTGCAGCCACTTGTGCTGTGGAGTTGGCACCTGATTTCACGCTTAATCTAATAAAGTCTTCGGCTCTCCTGTCAACTACAGCCGGTAGACAACAGTAGATGGCCGGTTAGTCGGAGTTCTGTCCCCTGGCTGCAGTGCTATTACGGACTGGACAGGAGGAAACAAAACAAATGACATAATTACTGTGTGTTGATGATAGACAGCGTGCACTGCCCTGCTATGATCATACGATTAGGGTTTGGGTTAGGGGTAGGGTTACGGTTAGGGTGTGGGTTAGGGTTACGGTTAGTGTCGCCGCATCTCGTCGTCGCACAAACTCAAAGTAGCAACCCAAACCCTAACCCTGAACCTAACCCAAACCCTACCCCAAACCCTAACCGTATGATGACAGTAGGGCACTGCCCGCTGTCTATCGCCAACACACAGTAATTATGTCACTTGTTTCGTTCCCTCTAGAGAGCCAAGTCTTCTACTCACAGAAAAACAAATTACAAAATAAAATCATATTTTAAAGTTTATTCCTTTTTCTTTGTTTTTATCAATGATACAGACAATATGAATACATATTACTTTTCTTTTTTGTTTTTGCTGGGTTAATAATAATCAGTTTTGGGAACTAAGTGGCTTGCATCCTGTGGGATACAAATCTGCAGCGTATCATCTGCCTAATGGAAGTCACCATAGCCAAGCAGCTAGACGCTCCTCACGGATCGAAAGGTTGTGGGTTTGCTCCCTGGCGGAGCCAGACTTTTTTTAAAAATGACCTTGGCTCCCAGGTCGACCCAGCCTTGAGTGTGTACCGGGTGCAGTCCCAGGAAAGTAAAGGCAGCCGGCCTGATGCTGACCACATCACCCCATCTTGTGCCGATTGGTCTATAAAAATATAGGTCTAGCCCTATATGCCCTATACGTCTGATGGCGTGGAAAAGGGTCCTTTACTTTTACTTACTTATCATCTGCCTAGTGTATAAGCTGATAGACCGACCGCTGCAGCTGGCTCCTCTTGTCGGCAAGCTTGGTTATGATAAATTACAAGTGGTGAAGGCTCTCTGCCATCAAGTAGACAGTGTCACAAAGGCCACTTGCCACACCACTGACAAAACAGGCATATGGTGCTACACAAAGATTTTTTTAAAAGACCAACCAGCGCTCACATCATGTCAGCCATCTTTACTTCCCAGGACTTTTCCTGGTACCCATTTTAGGATGGATCAACCTGTGAGCATTGGCTCAGTTAATAAAACCCACCCTGATTTGGATTCCAACTCAAGGACTGTCAGATATAGTCTAGTGACTGTGCTACCACAGCAATTCCGAAAGAAAGGTTAATTACTTTTGTCAAACAAACACACCATTACAAAAGAAATAAGTTACTGCAGTTCTTTCCCATTTTTGTCTGTATAACAAAATTAAAAAAAAAAAAACCCACTAAACTTTAGAATGCCATTCCATTTGTGCAATCCTACTATTTGATAAGTATAATTTCTTCAGTGTGACTATTAAAAAGTATGGGTTACATGGCAAAGGGGTCCACAGAACTGAACTGAGTTGGGAACCACTTTTTCACTGCATTTAATAATATACAAGTTGGCTTGTTTGCAGAAAATTAAAACGTACTGTATAATGAAATAAACAGTGTCCCTTGCTCTAGTTTATTAAAAGATATGTAAAATAAAAACAAACTGATGTTAGACAGAGCTAAGAAAGTGAAAAACAGTGCCATATTCAAGTCTATCTAGAACTGCCTCATTCGAGCAGTGCCAAAACTCTCAAACAGTGACTTTTCTTCGAAGTCTCTCTCAAACCGTGCTTCCTCATTTAAGTCTATCTCAAATAGTGTCTCATTCAAGTCTATCTTAAACAGTGTCTCATTCAAGCCTGACTCAAACCGTGCCTCCTCATTTCAGTCTATCTCAAGCAATGTCTCATTCAAGCCTATCTTAAACAGTGTCTCATTTAAGTCTATCTCAAACAGAGTCTCATTCAAGTCTATCTCAAACAGTGCCTCTCACTCAAGTCTATGGTAAACAGTGTCTCATTCAAGTCGATCTTAAAGAGTGCCTTATTTATCTCAAATAGTGCTACACTCGAGCATATCTCAAATACTCTTCATTCAAATCTATCTTAAACAACGTCTCGTTCACATCTATCTCAAACGGTAAGTCATCCAAGTCTATCTCAAACAGCGCCATTCAAGTCTATCTTGAACAGTGCCTCATTATAGACCATCTCAGAAGGTGCCCCATTCATGTCTGTCAAAAAAGGCTGCAATTGTGGCAGACGAATAAAACATACTGTATAATGATAAATATGTGCTTGTATTTTTGTTTGTGTGTGACACAGAGCAGCTGCTGAGATTTATTTCCAAGTCACGTTGACTACTTTTGTATCCAACAATTAATACATCATAACCAAAGCTGTGAGACATGGATAACAACAAATATTTTAAAAAAAAACAGGGAGCATTTGTATTTAAAAAAGAACATTCATTATTTGAAGCTTGTGCAGAAGAGAGGAGCAAAAATGGTACGACAGAATCACTAATGTGGAGCTGATGAAAGGAGATGGAGAGATGCCAGTGAATCAGGTCAGGATAAGTAGTTGACAGTGGCTAGAACATGTACTGAGAAAAATTGTTAAAAATAATTAGAAAATTGTTCCTCTGGAACCCACAGGGCAAAAGAAACAGAAAGAGACTCATCAAAAAGTCGGGAGATTCTTTCCTTTACAAAAGTCAACAGTGTGTGTACTATCTCGAGAACGAAGGTTGGCTATAACAGACCACTGTCTTTTGGACAATCTGTTCCACGGTATGACTCACAAAAGACAGTTTAAAAACCCACAAGATTTAGTCACAGAGCAAAAGAAACAGGGAGGAATATGTGAGGAAAAGTAGCTGGCGCTAAATACGACACACACTGATAAAACTATGCAACTATAGTCTTTCCTTTGGGCAAAAGAGGGAACACACAGAAGACAATCATACAAAGATTAATATGGGCAGGACATGAAAAAGTATGGGGCAGAAGAGTTTGACATAAGTTTGTTGAGGACCTAAATTCCAGTGGCCCTTAACCTTAGCCAGCAGCTGGTCTAGAAGGAAAGCATTTACAGGCAGAGCATTACTCTTCTGATCCAGCAGCTTCCCCAGGCTTGCTTTGTTCCAAACCTGCTGATGTTAACAAGGCAGGCAGAGAAAGGGATCTCACAGCGTGAGAAACACATGGTCTCTACAGTACTGCCCAGGCTTGTGCTAGCGAGAGGCAGACCTTCATTCCGGGCAGTAACTGGCTGTAACAACCTTGTCACTCTGTAACATGACACAGATGAAAGATACCAACAAAGTGAATCAAAAAGAATACCTGTTTATACACCTTTAGGCAATCCGTAGACTACTTACAATAACGTAAACAATATCAAAATGTATATCATATCAAACAGTAGTGCACATACTTTCACAAATTTTTAAACCTCACCCATCAAAAAATGAACTATACTCATTTCATAATAAAATGTCACTCATTCTAACAACAGAGCTTCTAGATTGCTCATTCGATATCAAAATATCACTCACTTCAAACATGGTCTAGTAATAGTAAGCTCATTCCGCAAAATATAATTCATTTCATACAAACAGAACCTTTAGTACACTCATTCCTCAAAATGTCATTCATTTCAAACAAACAGGATCTACAGTACGCTCATTTCACAAAATATCACTCATTTCAAACAAACAGGATCTACAGTACGCTCATTTATCAAAATATCACTCATTTCAAACAAACAGGATCTACAGTACGCTCATTTCACAAAATATCACTCACTTCAAACAAACAGGGTCTACAGTATGCTTATTTCACAAAATATCACTCATTTCAAACAAACAGGGCCTCTTGTTGCCAAACTAGGAAAACAGTCCTAAGAATTCTACATTTGAGTATACTGTTAAAAATTACATTTAAAAAAAACATGAAATAAACAATACAGAAAACATGAGGCCAAAGAGGTTACAAGGCAGTAAGGCTCAGTGTTGTAGTCTCTGTAGTTTTCTTGCTTTTCGACAATGATGCTACTTGACGAGTGAGTTCCCTGTTTTTTATCTGTTCAGAGATAATGTATGCACAACATTACTTTTATTATAGACCAAATAAGTTTTATAACACATGAGAAGTTATAGAAAAAACACAGAGAAAGTGAGAAAATATGCTAAACAATGTTTCTTATTAGAAATTTAAATAGTGAAGAGACAAAGAATGCATTGCATAATTTACTGCTCGGCTAACTTTACAATATCTCTTCAGTCGCATTACTACAGAACATTATATGAGGGGCTCCAAATGAAAACCTTAAAATGATAAAAAATACAACAACCATGCCACTGTCTTGTAACCTGTCAATGCTGTTGTTAAGGATATCAAGCACATATCACAGATGTCATGATAGTTTAAAGATGGCCAACCCCCCTCTGACATGCACCAAAGAAGAGCAGCATTCCGTTAACCAATTTTAAATCGGTGAAGGGATGAAACCTATAGAAATTCATCAGCGAGTGAGGATCCAGTATAGTGATGCAGGCCTGTTAGTCCAACAAATGTATGAGTGGAGTAGCAAGTTTCAAAACGGCAGCACTCGACTCTGGGGTCACTACTAGTGTGCTTGACCTGGTCATGAGCAGTCTGTCTTTGAAATCACGCCATTTTGAAAGAAGAAAATAATGGGTAAATTAGGCTGTACTGTTTTTTCTGTTTAACCCTGTCACCTTAAGAGGCCATTTCTGCTATGGCCTGTCCCCAAGAAGCCTGGTTAATGGTTCTGTTTGTACCTGCCCAGTTTTCAGGAGGCCTAGATTTTTATATATTTAATAAAAATAGCATGTAATGGTGTTTTTTTTTAACAAAATGACTTTTTTTTACAGAAAAGAAATTCTTATGTCCTAATTGGTCCAAAGTCTAAGTGTTAGAATTCCGAATCAAAACATTTTTGAGTGTGCTCAATTTAATGCTTCACTCCATTTGTGATTTTTGATTACTTTCTTAATATAAGTTGAAAACAAATTTTTAAATGTAGTTTTTACAGAATTTGCTCTAGGAATTCCTGCAGGTTCCTGCTTGCTTTTTTTAAAGCGTTGAAAGGGTGAAAAGGTTAAGCTTTAGTGGAGAAAGAAGATGAGGACAGATAGGAAAAAGCAGCAGCAGGATGAGAAGAAGAAGAAAACAGAGAGAAAGAAAAGAAAAAAATAAGTTTCTCTAACCTGCAAAGTTTCCAAAGCTATGGAGTGACTCTGCTGCATAGCTGTAATTTTTGATCGAAATTTTTTGTCATTTTCATACATATGGGCTTTTAGTTCTGTGATCTGGAAAAATAAAGTTCACAGAATCAATATGATAAACAAACTGTAATATATTAGTTAAAACTCACAGATGCAAAAGGAAATGGAACATGTATCAGAAAACATTAAAATTTGAAGCTGTAGCTACCACACAAGGGGATAGAATCTGTAACCTCCAAAGTAAAAAAATAAGTAAGAATGTACAAAGAAAACACTGATTAAATTAATAAGTAAAGTGGCACTCAAGGACTCTTCATGCTATTGGTGCATCTGGAGAAGAGAGACTGGTAAAGCTCTTAAGAATGTTGGACTCTCAAGTAAATCCTAAGTAAAGTGATGGAATAAGGAATGAGGTCATAAGAGAAACAATTTGGCCTATAACCAATTATAAATTATATATAAAGATGGCGAATGAAATGGTCTGGCCACTTAGAAAGTATGTCTTGTGACGTCATACCATACAAGACATACACACAAATTGGGAAAGGATGTAGAGCACAAGAAAGACCAAGAACAAAATGGAAAGATAACATCAGAGAAAATCTACAACAGCACGAGGTGTCTATGGCAGCCAGAAGAGCAAGAAGCATAATCTTCTATCTCCCTAGAAACCAGAAGCAGTTACAAAGAAGAAAGTGAAGAAGAAGACTTGAGTATCATGAAAAATGCTATCATGGTCTCTCACTTGACCATGGAGAACTACCAACTGCACCTCTACATTGCAAGGGACAGGTATCACAAAACTGTCCGGCCACAACAACTTTTGAGTCCTAGTAGGCACTGGTATATGTTCCTCTTCTTCTAGGTGTGCTCTTAAAAGGGCAGCTGGCACACTGTGTTGTGGTTTACAGCTAGGCTACAATCATCATCATCAAGTGCCTTGCCGACTGGTACCGGTGAACATGTCTCGCCCCAATCCGAAACTGTGTGCATCAGTTCATGCGCTGACAGCTGTCAAGATCTTCTCGCACCGTCCTTCCCTGTCGCTCTTTCCACAGACCTTTCCAGTGGTCACAAGTTTTAGTTTCCCTCATCTCATAACATGACCAAAAAATTATGACTGACTCTTTTTGATAAGTTGTCTTTGAGCACTCACATTTTTTAAAATAAATGGGTTGCTCTTCTAAGCTGTCCATGGAATTCTAAGGATTCTTCTGTGAAACTACATCTCCATTGCCGCATGATATTGTTCAGCTCGTTTATTAATTGTTCAGGATTCACGGGCATGTGTTAAAACTGGCTTCATATAGCATGCAAGAATTCTGTACTTAATCTCTACTACATGACCTCATTCCTGAATCACATACTTTACCGGGGATTTGAACCTGGATATCCCACATGAGAGTCCAACATTCTTAAGGGCCTTTTGACCCAAAATGTCTGATTTCAGCAAACTCCTAATTAGTCGCCTTTTATGGCATGCCTTTTAAAGAGAGGTGAGCAGGTCTATTCTTTTTCCCCAAGACAGGGCCCAGAAACCATGTGGGGAACAGGAAAAGTAAACTTACAGGCCATACTCCTTGCATTATTATAGCAGGGCTATTCAACTGTTGGCCCGCAGGCAAAAATTTGGTTCTCTGGCCCGTGATGATCACATTTTAAAAATTGTGGTCCTTAACCCTTTTAGCACGGGAAGTTTTTCAGAGGTCTAGCCAAAAACACGGAGCATTTTTTCAGTAAATTTGGTTATTACTTTATTATTTTTTTTGGACACATTTCTGTTATTCTGACCCCCATGAAGTAACATATTTATTTGAAGGATATAGGTTGAAGTTCATGATTTTCACAATATCGTTAAAATAAATTGATGCATATGCAAATGATCTCATTTGCATATCTAAAAATAGAAAATCAAAATATGAATTTTCAACTTTAGAGCATGAAACACACAACTAAAAACAAAAATATATTTTATTTGTAACCTTTTTATTGATCTTTATCCTTTTTACATTTACGTTTTTCAAAACAATAGTGGTGAATACCCTTTCCACAAGAGGAACACATGTTTTTACTACGCTTCCTTCCACCGGGTTGGGAGCGGTTACTGCACACACAACAGTCCTTCTCTTTATTGTCAGGAATTTGCAAAAAACCAGAGTTTCCAACATTACCAGAACAAGTAGGAGGATGCCTAGAGTCAGAATATTCTTTTGCGAGTTCACTCACAACAGCTGATGTAAACTTATAACGTGTCATAATGCTAGAATCTGACGTATTCTGGCGATACAAAATGTATGCATTTACAGTCATTCGTCCAAAAATAGCAAAAACAACTTTACGCCAATATTTAAGTGTTCTGCGTTCATCCAAATAGGAATAAAGCATCATGTCACTTTGGTCTACTCCACCCATATGTTTATTGTATTGTAAGACAATACGAGGTTTGGATCTCTCGGCTGGCTGTTGGTCATTTTGCCGAACTCTCACTGTGACTTCAACCTGCTCTGCTTTCTCTTTTGTTGACAACAGAAGTACAGGCTTTGCTTCTCCCTGTAAGCAGCTGTAATAATGGCTCCTCTTCTGTAATACACTGTTTCGTTGGGCTCAAGTTTACCCTTGATACCATTAGGGATGTGTCGCCTATTGCGTCGAACTGTGCCAGTAAGGTAGGTACCCTCAGCAAATAAATCAGTGGCCAATTCCACACTTGAAAAAAAATTATCCACAAAGACATGGTAACCCTTTCTAAGGTAATTGCCAATTGCTAAGAGTTTTCTCACAACTCTGTGAGACAGTCCTAAGCCATCTTGTTCTTGATCTCTTCTACCTTTGTAAACAAAAAAATCCAAGAACATAGGCAGTCGTTGATTCGCACAACATCCATAATTTGACACCCCACTTATGGTGATGCTTGTTTGGCATGTATTGTAGAATCTGACTACTACTTTTAGTTCCTATAAGGCTTTCATCAACAGACAGCTCTTGTTTTGGGGTATAGTGATGCCTAAATACTCTGTTAGCATGCTCTACCAGAGGGGCAAAATTACCACAAGGGTCATATCCATCTGTGTTTGGAGCAGCTAAGGTTTCATTGTTGACAATGTGAAAAAATTTGAGTAGTAAATCAAACCTCTCCCTAGGCATTACTCTTCCAAACCATGGAGTTTCTTGTGATTTATCAGTGGTCCAGTAGGAAAATAGGGTAGGTTTTCTGTTCAACCCCATGTTCAGAATAATCGCAATAAAGGCTTTCATTTCGGAGATTGTTGTTGGCTTCCAGTTCTGTACAATGGATCTGCGTTTCAGGATATTTGCACTTTTTGCAACAAACTGAGCTGCATATCTGTTGGTTTCTGTTACAAATGTTGTAATTAATTCCACAGTCAAAAACAGGTGTAGATAAAACACAGCAATCACATCTTTCGGTGGCATGTGTTTCGGACCAGTCAGCTCAAGAAATGGATGGGCCGGAGTGTCAACATCTTCGGGTGGATATACCCTGAGCCATGGTTGGGCTGTGGTCTCATCAGCGTCCCCATCTGATTCCCCACTATCACTAACACTAAATCCTGCATCTGTATCGCTAGAAATAGTATCATCACTTGATTCGAATGTTTCATCAATATCAAGTTCAGGAGCAGAAACAGTCGCGTCAGACATAGTTTTATCGATTCAGGTCACTATCTAAAAAATTCAACAACAAATTTCACGCCGACACCAAACACAAGAAAATCGCCATATGCAAAGATAGATCAGCAGTGAATATAAAATAATCACTTTCAGTGTTTCAAAATAGGAGATTTCTTACGGTGATGAGGCGAAACACGATCGGGCCGAAAATCGGCCGCTCCGTGTTTTTGGCTAGACTGCCGCCGGCCGATAATCGGCCCGTCCGTGCTAAGAGGGTTAAGAAAACTTAGTTAAATAGCCCTGCAGGACTGGGACCATGAGAAAAAGACATATTATGCACGACTTATAATTTTAAAAAATGCTATTTTCTACTTAGTGCCTATGCTGCTACAGTGAATGCCAAAAGGTATCTATGTGGAAAATGCCATGGTAACCATGATATGAAATAATGCTGGGCATGCAAGGCCATCAAAGTCCTGCTAAATGCTTCTGCCTGACCCCTAAAAGATGCAGCCTTGTTGAGTGGGAGGTTCAACATTCTGATGTGAGATTAAGCGGTCATGTCCAGTACTGGGTAAGCCCAGTACCATATATGGAAGTCTCCTTTAATGATAGCGGAGGAGCGCATTGGGGAGGATACTAGCCTTATCCTAGAAAGAGGAATCCTTGAATGACAGAGAATACCAATTTTCTGCCCGTCTTCCTTTAGGGCTGACCAGCATGCATGTATCTGTATAGCCCTCTGCAGAGTATCTGTAACTCAAAGAGGAAAAATGACAACAGAGCAATGAAACTAACCAGAAAGGCTAGCCTAGACAATAAATGTCTGAGGAAGTCAGATGTGATTGCCAAAAGTGCAAGCACTGAAAACAATGCTGCAAACATAATTACAGGTAAAACAAAAGCTGCACAAATCTGGCACAGTTCTGGACTTTACTTTTGTTCCAGAACCTGAGTGTTGCGTGCACATCTGTTTTACAGATCCGACTTATCTGTATGCAGATTTTTGGTTCCTTGCCTCTCTGGCAGATGCACTCCCAATTTCAAAGGAAGCACCCAGTCAGTCGACTCTTACGACATACTAGCTGAGGAGGCAGTGGGTCTATTCTCGTTTTCCTTACAATGGAGCTGGAACCCACACAGGAAGACAAGTTCATGAGATAAACTTGACTGTTGTGACTTTTAGGAGTTCCCTTTTAGTTCCATACAACAATGACAAGTTTCCATATTTACCTTTTTATCCTTTTCCAAGAGTTGCTGGTCTTTGCTGGCTATCTGCTTCTTGATACTTTCAATCTGTTCTCTCAACTGAGTGATCAGGATGACATTCTCCGAGGTCGTGGTGTCCACACCGGGGTCAGACATATTGCTACCTGTACTGTAACAAGGGGGAAAAAGTACACAAATTATTTTGGGCCACAAGCATAATTCTACTCGCACAGTGAGAAGGAAAAGGAGTGACTGACCAAGCAGCCAGAACGTTAAACTCTCCTTCAGATGTGGGTCCATATTCTCAAAAAGGTGTCAGAAGCATACCAGAAGACACATTACTTTCTTTCTCGTTCGCATTTACTGGTTGTGAACTCTGGTTGTTCACAGACTTCTGGACTTTAGCCTATGTTTTGCAAACACACCCTTTTTGCAGATCTGGTTTATTTGTAAGCAAATTTGTGTGTGTGAAGGAAATACTCCTAATAGGTCAATTGTTGGGGGGGGGGGGGGGGGGATGGGGCAGTGGGTCTATTCTATTTTCCCCCTCCAAAATGGAGCCCTAGAACTCAAATTGGGAATATTTCTAACATCAACATTAGGCTGCAGAAAAGAATAACCATTAAACATTTTTTGTAAACTGGCTTTGCTGCCTATAGTATAGAGCAGTGTAGGGCAGGGTGCTGTTCAGCCTGGAGACTTAGTGCAGTTGCCACAAACTGTGCAGATTAAGATAATTATTTTTCCTCAGACAAAAATAACTAAATAGCTCGAAAACTAAACAGCTCTGAAACACATGAATTCCTACCTAAAAAGGTGAATGGTCAGTTATAGATTGGAGTTTTTTTTTTTGGGGGGGGGGGGGGGGGGGGGGGGGCTTCTTGTAATTGTTGCAGGAGTTATGGGAAAAGAACGTCTAGAAAATGTGACAACAAACAAAATCAAAGACGCTGAGTCTGTACTTACCTCTTAGGGGTTGATACTGCTGCCGCTGCTACACCATTCGCTTGATTCTTCTCAGGCTTCGGTTTCTTAGCATCACCTGCTTCCTCATCCTCTCTGTAAATTAATTTTTTTTAAAGACTAGGAATGTTCTTTATGTTTGTATAACTAGCAAATGGCTGTGTGTATTTAACTGCCTCACAATATTTCAAAACAGTCTGCCTTATTCAAAATAAATGTAAGGAGAATCCTGGAAACATTTTGGCCAAACAAGATCATAAATGAAGACCTGAAGAAAAATACAACATGTTCATCACTGGCAAATGTTATCAAAGAAAAAGACAGAGATCGCTTTGACATGTCTGCAGAATGTCTTGCGACATTTTGCCCAGGACAGCTCTCCGATGAACAGCAGATAAAAAAAAAAAAAATAGACATGGACGAGCTAAGGAAACCTGGAGAGGGACAGAAGAAAGGGAAACAAATGTTAAAAAAAGGATATGGGATACCACAGACAGAAAAGCAGCAGACTAGCAGCAATCGAGATTGCTTGTGAATGCCTTACGCGTCAACAGCAACACGAAGAGATAGATATATTTCAATGCACACTAGTTGGTTGTGTGGTAAACTACCCCTAACACAATCTCAATCAGATAACATGTCCCTTGCAAATTACTGATACGGATTGTGCCTTTCAAGCAATTTACCAGCTGTAATATAGAGACAATCACTTTACCTGTTGCAAACAGTAGTGACATGTGTTTGGTCTAAAACTTCCAGGGTAAAAACCAGTGAAACAAGGAATTGTGATTTGTGCATTTTCAGTCTAAGATTCATTTCATGAGCTTCATTACATGTTGACGTAAACTCTTAGTAAGGTACATGACAAGATGTATCGTCTCCTCACCGTACGACCTATGAAACTTACAACCATCCCTAAGAAAGATTACGCTGGTAGGGTAAAAAGTTCCTGGAACTGAGTATATAAATATTTTTGACATTATGTACAAAAACTATACATACACAGAAATAATTTGTGTGTTTTATGTACAACATTTATAATCTGCTTGAATTTTAACAGTGTTGAAATATATAAATTTGACTTCCAACCAGGATTGGAATGGAACTGAGACATAAGCCAAGGAGACCCTGTACAGCTAAAAATGCCAGGTAATAAATTGTGCAATGTATTGCTTGTATCCACATTATTTGAATTCACAACAGGGAAACCACTGCTATGAATACAAGAACAAAAAGTGTTAAGTTTAAAGTTGAGATGATAAACGAGGAAATTGTGGGGGTGGAGTGTGCACATGTGTGTGTTTAAGGCCCAGGCAAATGTAATCCATGTAATTTTTACTCAGCCCATATTTACTGAATAATGCCCCTACATAACTGGGGTTGGGTGGTAATTTTTTTTTTAAACTGTGTGTAATGGCTTTTTTAACGGATTGATTTTGGACACTACTTAGTTCACATTTTTTTAACATATTTTTTTTTCAAAAGGATTTCTTTGGTGATCAGGTTAAAGTTGTTGCTGCAGAAAAAAATAAAAGGTATGATGACAATTACTTACTTTGAAAGGTGTCTTTTTGAGTGAGAATGGTGATGGTGGTGGTTGTACTTTCGATGATTATGATGGTGTCTGTGAGGCTTCTCCTCTTTATCACCTTCTCCACTTTTAGCATCATCTGAACTGCTCTGGGGTTTTTCAGCCAATCTGCTTTCTCCCTCAACCTTCACCGGCCTATCAATATCGACAGGTGGAGTGTTACCTCGACTGCTCCCTCCACTGGTGGCAAGTTTGGTTAACCGCTCTAGTACAGTCATGCCTTCAAAAGAAGCTGATGAGGGTACTGGCTGACTAGCTTGCAAGTTCTGTCCATTATTGGCAGATGAATTTAACTTTGAAGGTGATTCAGCCGATGACGATGATAACCCTGATGATTTGAGAACCATGTCTTGAGTCTTACGGGTTTTCGCTAGAACTCTTTTATATGCCTGGTCACATAACCAGCACATCAATTTTCCATTCACCTAAAATAACAAATAAAAACTTAATCTAAATATGGTAAAGGTGATTGCAACATATGGGAATATTCAATATAATAAACAGGATAACCTGAAAACCAACAGAGAAATAATAAATAAAACTGTACAGTACATACAATGCTTTCTAAGAAGAAAGGGTCAAAGAATAACAAAAAGGCAGTGGAAAGAGAAGCAAATGGACTAAGGAAGAATGAACGCCTAACAGAAACCCTTCAATGAACACAAACAAGAAAAGACAGAAGTCTTGAACAAGATTCCATACATGATATCATCACAACTGTTCAAAGGTAAAGGACACATTCTCCACAACTTCATGAGGATTGGGCACTTAGGGCTAGAACAGTATTTTATAGACTGGCCAGATCTATATTTTATAGAACATGTGGCCCTTAGTGGCTGATGTGGTCCGCATCACGCAGGCCACCTTTACTTCCCAGGACTCCAAATGGTACCCACTCAAGGCTAGATCGACCTAGCCACCAAGGTCATTTAAAAACAAACCAAATAAAAAGCCCAGTACAACCATGACCTTAACCCACAACCTTCCAATCTGCAGGCCAGCATCTAGCTGCTACACAATGGCGGCTTCCCCTCATAACAACTGTACAGGATACAATTCTCCATGTGGGTTCCGGGATCCAATTTGGGTGGTGGCGGGGGGACAGACTCAATGTCTCTTAATAATTAACTAGGAACTGAGAAATTGCTGAAATTAGATATGTTGGGCCGAAAAGGGGAAAATATCACAGTTTGGTGCTAAAACACAGTGCCAACTTACCTAAGTGAAACATAAATGGCACAAAAGGATAATGAATGATTCAATGAATGTCCATTGTGGCCATGTTGATTCTTTCTGCAGTAAATGACTAATTTTTATCACTTAACAACACAACAGGAATACTTTGCTACAAAAATAAAATAAAATGATCCCACGATAAAGTCACCTTTCATAACAGAAAAAGTTCAATTTCACAACAACACATGATGTGGTATAATATCTTTAACATACTATCTGAACATGCTAAGGGAACCTGGCTAAAAATTATAAAACTGTAGCACAGCACATGTTGCCTCTTCGAAAGGCAGTAATTTGAATTATATTCTTAATATCCATCCAGGAATGGTCAACGTCTTCCTCCGGCAGATTTTGTAAAATTTCATAATGGATTTTGTAAAATTTCAATTTTATATTGTAATTAATTTGGAAATTTCTCTTATATAGGTTTCTTGTAATCTTTCTCTATTGTACCCTGGAAGTGATCTTTGCAACTTGACGCTGAAGGATCTCTTAACTTTTTTTATTGTGCACCAAGCAGGTAGTGGTAACTATGGCACTCAGCTCCTCTGAAGCTTCTAATTTTTGTATGTTTGATGCATTTCTAATATTTATTTAAATGTGATCTATCTGATTATCAGTCATCTAGTTACATGACTGTCATGTTTGTTTATGTATATCTTTTCTTTAAAATCTGGTGCTGCTTATCTGTAGTCCTTTATCTACTGTGAGGTTGATTTGCTTTTTTGTTTTTTTCTTATAATCATAATATGCATATTATTATAAGAACGTAACATGCTTTATTGATATAAAAAATACAACTGCTGTGCGAAAGATGGGTGTTTGGAAGGGCTGAAGGCAAGACAGGCCTGCGTGCCGAATTTGTGACTCTTTGAAAATAAAGTATGTTAGTTTAATTAATCTCCATTCATTATCGTTTGAATTTACGTATGTAAGCTTTCCCTGCCTGCTAAAATTTTACATATGTTTTCCTATTTTTGCACTGAAATCTCCTAAGATAATCAATTGTCCCATTTGTGAGTTTTCTCTATGGATATTCTCAAGGAGATCATAGAAATCTTCTTTATTTATCCTATTTATTAACACTTTATAATCATGTGAAAGTAGAATGCCCCATACGTTATCACCAGGGCCATTACAAGCATAACTTCAGCTGTGCTTATATGTCTTCTTCAGCAGTGAAACATGCAATGAAATATTGTTTCAAAACAATGCTTGTTATATAAAGCATATTAAATAAATAAAAATGGCTTTCACGAAAAAAAAAATGTTTATGGGACACCCTTAATCACAGAAAATGGTCAAAAAAAGACACCTGTGGTGCAAAGGGAGTGGGGTGGGGGGCGGGGGGGCTGAACAGTCCCACTGCCCTCCCAAATGCATTTCATATGATGCAACTAATTAGGGATTTGCTGATAACCAATGTGTTGAGCCCAAAGGCACAGATACTGCAGCCTAACTATAAACCACAACACAACAAGCCAACTGCCCAACTTTAAGGGTGACGTCAGAAGAGCACTTATTAATGATGATGACAAATACAAGCTAATATAATATACTGCCACTTTACCTTTCTCCTTTCTGGACGATCAAAGGCACACTTTAGTTTACACTGCTCACATACAAGTGGGGGCCCCCATTTCTTCTCTGAGTTAACACACCTCTGACAGCGTTTCCCAATAAAAGCAGCCAAAACACTGCAGTTTTCACAGGCAGTTGGCTGAAAAAGAAAGTTGCCATCTGAATTTCTTGTGCTGAGACTTAACACATTACCTTACACCTTTTATTTAAAAAAAAAAAAATAGCTAGTCGCTGGCACCCTTCCATCTTTCTAAACGATAGATAGTCTTATATTGTGCTAAAAAAAAAAAAGGTATCAGAATAAAAGTGACGACAATGGCAACTGCCTGTCTCTTATTTTTCCTCTAACTATCAGTAGTTTTTATATGGAATTACCACAGGCCTCTATGAAGGCTGTGGTGTGAGGCATGTCCTCAACTGACCCATAGAGCTTGTTTTCCACAAGAATGCTAACTGGACAGACCTGGGTGCTCTCTACTGTTTGTAGACAGCATGCTGTATCGCTCTTTGTCCCCTCCAGAATTGCAGTCTGCAGGATTAACACCCCAAGGATGAGAATCCTACATTTACAAATCCCATTCAACTATAAGATTATTTACACTGGGGCCCCTGAGGGTAAAGGTAAGTAACCTGAAGTCCACACCAGGCATGGATGACAGATAGGGAGCAAGTCTGCAGCCAGCTTCGGTATTCTAGAATGCCTGTCAACATGGGTACATTTCTTGAGTCCCCAGTGTGACAACTTTTACTAGCAAGATCTGCTCGCATTTAAACAAACAAACAAAAACTATCAGTACCAATCAACTCACCCTGCAACTGTTACTCCTGACATGGTATTCTTCTCTTACTTCTTGGTGACTCACCTAGTTATGGCATTAATCCATTTTATCACCTTTCTGTCATTGTCCATGCCAGCAGTGTTCACTTGGAGAAAGCCACAGGCCTCTCTGAAGGTTGTGGCATGACCCATGTCCTCCAATAACCCATAAAGCTTGGCTTCCAAGCTATCACAAGTAGTGATACACTCCTTTATTCTGTTAACTCCTTTAGCCAAAGACATGATTAGCGATAAAACTATTTCATACAAAATGAGTAATGCAAAAACAAGTATATCTTTTTCTACCAGTCTGGGTTTAGGGAGAGATAAAAGGTTCTGCTTCTTGCTTTTCTAGCTGCCTTGACTAAAGACACATTGTACTATTGTAGAGTTTTTTCTGACACTGCATCTAAACTTGTTCGTGGTCTACCCTGTGTTTTATATCCCTATCCTCTTTTGGTGTATGCCCTCCATAATGACTGTCTAGTACTCAAAAGAGTTAACATGAACCTAAATATGGCACTAACCTTTCCAAAATGCTTCACATTCTGGGCACACTTGGCACAGATAGAGCTAGTACTTCCTTTGCTAAAAAGAAAAAAAACAATAAAACAATCATAATCAAGTTATTAGCCTGCTTACAGTCTTGTAAGTTATCTATTACTTTAGGAGCTCTATGGCGAAGCAAGCAAGCCATCTGTTTCATGCTCCGAAGCACATGGATTTGCCTTATTGCACAAGTCCTGTTTTTAATGGAGAGCCCTTGAGGATCATCACCACAGTCAGGTCTCTGTGCTAGCCATATTGGATAAAACATGGTGCAACAAAGACTATACTCTTATTTAAATCTGCTGTTAGGGAAAACAAAAGTGTGCTAGTTCAGTGGTTCATGAACTTAACTTGCAATTTGGTCTCTATATGTTCCAGTCAAGGCTTAGAGGTTAGTGAATATGGTTAATGTCATGACTCTTGAGTACTAGGATTTGTTCCTTGCGGTGGACGGTTATTAAAAGAAATGTTCTCGTGGTTTTCGGACAGTGGTACGAGAGTTTTGCCATGAAACAGAAGAGGGCATCACCATCATCAGCAGGGGCACAACTTTCAATATGGAGAAAGCACAGATTTTTTTTTTTTTAAATATATTACCCACACACAAAAACTGTGTACAAAAAGCATTTATATCCAATGTCATATTTCAAATATAACTAGGAATCGATACATATTCAAATGAAACCTGCACCTGTTTTGTTGAAATTCTGCCCGACAGTAAGTACACTTGACCACAGGAAAATTGTTTCTACAGTCCTGAAAGAGAAATAGAGAATATAATACTCCAACTGATTATTCTTTTTTTTTTAAACACACACAAACAAGCTGATTTTTTTAAAAAAAAAATACCAACCAAGAAACAATTTTAATAAACTACAACTGAACACCTGCTATAAGCGTAAGTGTCCTTCTGTGTTTATCCTCAAAAAGGGCATATGGCACTGTGGTCTGATAAAATCCACTATACCTTTTGGCTGACAACATCCTATTCCAGCAAATTTTTTTTTTTAAATGTAATATCAGATCTTTGTTAAGAGACTACAACTGAATAGGTTTTAAAAGTCCAGTTCAACTGTATCTAAAAAAAAAAAAAAAAAGCATGTGTGTCAGTTCTAAACTAAACAAAGATATTTATAGTCAGTCACTGACTGACTACCATTAAATTTTAAAAATCATATTGATGACAGTCTGCAATATGCTATGCGACCCAGTAGGATCCGGAATTGAAATGTCGATTAATTTTATTTCCAACCTTAAAAGGGTTCTTTTATGTTATTTCACCACATCACTTCCCGAGATTTGGTAAGGAAATGAAAATCCCCAGAACGTGCCATAGTATAGCATAGCACTAGCACACCCCCCCCCCCCAAACTATGGGACATTCTGGGGTTTTCCCTATCAAATCTCCAGGTGATATTGTGAAATAGCAGAAAAAAATTAAAATGTTAACAGTAGAGAGGTGCTGGCAGCTCTCAAGACAAGAGACAACTCGCTGACTGCTATACTAAAGCTAATAATAATATATATATATATACTCACTATCACTAACTACTGATATCTGATATGATATACTATTTACATCAACTATGATTGTATTCTACAGCTGTTCGATCAGTTCATCTCTTCCTCGTCTCCTCAGTGTAGTATAGGGAGCTGGGAGATAGATGTATGCATCTTCTGTATGCTTTATGTATAACATAATTAACATCATTTCTTTAACTTTACGGCTGTCCTTGTTGCAGTCGTCTATCATCATATCATATGATCTTTTGCGTGTCTTTCCTTTAACTCTGACCTAGTTAGCTAAATGACAAATAAAATCAATGAAAACAAATACCACTTGTACTTGTACTTTAATTATGAGACTCCAAAACATAATCAAATATCTTTCAAACTGTTGCTTTCATTAAATATATATAAATATATAATGTCGGTCTCAAAGTAGTAACCCGTTGAACATTGTGTGAGGTGTCTTTTTTGAAAGACTCGCTCATGACTCGTCTGAGAGTGTCGGTGCCTACCTTACAAAGTTGCTCGCCTTGTGATAATTCCTCAAATGGATATCTCTTATGACATTTTGTGCACGAAAATAATGCTGCCATCTCTGGTTATTATTTCAAACAGACATAATAAAAAGTAAACGATCAAGCTTTCTTAAATGTAGAGAGATAAATATGTTTTAAAAGAACCCCCTCTCAAAGATTATCTTCTCCAAAAGTAAAACGGAAAACACAAACTGTTAACATTGCGCATGCGCCAGATCCATTGAAAAGTGTATCTGAATTTACAGGTCAAAATACCAAATTAAAACTTGAAATATAACCTCAAAGAGCAGTTATACAGAACATCCCAAGAAACAAAGCACCAGGTCTGGATGGAATCAATGCAGAAGCGATCCAAGCATGCGGAGAAGTGGATGTTAAATGGCTAACTTTAATTGTGTAATATAGCTTGGGAAGAAAGAAAAGTCCCAGCTGAGTGTTTACAGGCACTATAAGTACCCTTATGGAAAAAAAAAGGTAATAAAAGAGAATGTGAAGCATACAGAAGTATATCACTACTGAGTCAGGTAGGAACAATGTACGTAAAACTACTAGAACAGAGAGTTAGGCCCATAGCTGAACAACAGATGAGTGCATCACAAATCGGTTTCAGAAAAGGCAGAGGATGCACAGATGCATTATTGAGGCAAGTGTGTGAGAAAGCCATTGAGTATAATACCAAACAGAATATTGTGTTTGTAGATCAGGAAAAGGCTTTCGATAGATTGATAGAAACAAACTGTGGATTGTTTGTACAAGGACAATTACTAGAGAACATCAAGCCATGTACCACACAAGCCAGAGTGCAGTAAGAACACAAGAAGGAATCCCAGATTTGTTCACAGTCAACACAGGCGTGAGACAGGGATGTGTGCTGCTCCATTTTTATTTTACATTTATATAGACAGAATATCTAAAGAAGCAAGTTATGATACAGACAACATAGACTTTTATAATCACGAGGAAGTACACATATCAGAAGAAGTAAACGATTCACCCACATTAAACGAACTACTATTTGCTGACGACCAGTTATTGTTCTACCCTGAAGAAGATTGACTGCAAGACTACATTAACAGGTTAAACTCAGCATGTAGTAAATACAACATGAAGATCAATGCAAACAAAACCGAAACAATGCAAGTTAGCAGAACCCCTGGCCCACTACACATACAGTTGAATGGTTCTGAACTGAATCAGGTTAGGGAGTTTAAATATCTAGGAATTATGATCACGGAAGATGGTAGTATAGACACAGAAATCGAAACCAGATGTCAGAAAGCAAGTGCACTTATTTACCAATTATCACCATTAGTAAGACATCCAAGCATAACTATGAGAGCAAAGAGACAGATTATAAACAGCATATTCATTCCAACATTAGGCAACCAATGTCAAACATGGACACTATCTAAAACCCATATACGCAAATTCACCACTTGCGAGATGAGATGCCTGAGAAAAGTGGCCAACCTAACCATCCGAGATCGAGTGAATAATTATACCATTAGACAAATTGTGGGAACGACACCTTGAACTAAATTCATCGAGGAACAGCAGATCAAGTGGGTTGGCCATCTCGCTAGAATGCAGCAAGATCCAGTACCATCACAAGCACTATATCTCAGAAGATTAGCTACAGGAGCAAGAGGGCGGTCGTAGAAGCCATGGATCGACAACATTAAAGTCACTCTACGCCTTCGCGGCATGACAATAGCTTGTGGCAGCCAGCGTGCACTGGATTGCCCATTATTCATCCCCACGCGCTTAACGGCAGAAGTTGTTTATGATGATGATGATGAACCAAAGTGGTTGGGCAGCACCCATTCCTTACCTGCGGTTGAACGTAGTGATCGACAACGTGGAACTGAATTTGTCTTTTTCCTTTTCTGTTGCTTCTTCTTCCATCCCTCTCCATTATATCTCTCATCCTGCTCCTTCTCTTGCACTTCTTCTTGTCTTCTTTTTATTATTATTGTTCTTATTGTTCTTCTTCTTCTTCTTCTTCTTCTTCTTCTTCTTCTTCTTCTTCTTCTTCTTCTTCTTCTTCTTCTTCTTCTTCTTCTTCTTCTTCTTCTTCTTCTTCTTCTTCTTCTTTCTTCTTCTTCTTTTCTTTCTTTTTACTTCTTCTTTTTTTCTCTTTCTTCTTCTTCTTCTTCTTCTTCTTCTTCTTCTTTCTTCTTTTCTTCTTCTTCTTTCTTCTTCTTCTTCTTCTTCTTCTTCTTCTTCTTCTTCTTTTCTTCTTCTTCTTCTTCTTCTTCTTCTTTTCTTCTTTCTTCTTCATTCTTTTTTTCCTTCTTCTTCTTCTCCTTCTTCTTCTTCTTCTTCTTCTTCTTCTTCTTCTTCTTCTTCTTTCTTCTTCTTCTTCTTCTTCTTCTTCTTCTTCTTCTTCTTCTTCTTCTTCTTCTTTCTTCTTCTTCTTCTTCTTCTTCTTCTTCTTCTTCTTTCTTCTTCTTCTTCTTCTTCTTCTTTTTCTTCTTCTTCTTTTTTCTTCTTCTTCTTCTTCTTCTTCTTCTTCTGCTTCTTCTTTCACTTCCTTGAATCACGAATGTTTAAACAATTTTAATACAGGTGGGAGGGGTTTTGGATGAAGGCCCTTAGCCCCGTTACACGTTTTCTAAAAGAAATGAGTGCGGAAAGGGGGGGGGGGGCAAGGTGTCTAAGCCACACTCTTTCTCTCCCTTACTGCCGCCACCTCCAAATGTCCAATGAAGACACATTTTTAGAGGTGTCTAGTTGATCAGGTATCTTAGTAAACCTGTTTCTAGAACAAGACACATATGCCATTTGGAGGTGCCAAATTCGATTCCCGGCATGCAAATTTCCCGTTTAATCCCCAGGGCTATAAATAGGACATAGTAAGAGGCAGACAGCGATGCAAGTCGGCCCGGGGGAGGGGACATCAACCGCAGGGTGGACAAACAGTAGTCTGAGAGATCATATCTAGGAAGAAAGATAAATCGTGTTGGAAAGCCAACATTTTTTATGCTTGTTCTTCTTCGTCTTGTTAGCTTTCACTGGCTGTAAATTTTCTTGTTGTTTGTCCACTTCTGGACTTTAGGCTTGTTCTAAAACTTGAGTTTGTGCACACATCCATTTTACAGATCTGGATTATTTCTAGACTATTTTGTTCATCGCCTCCCAGATGCACTCCGACTTCGAAGGAAACATCCATATTTAGTAGCCTTGTACGCCATGCTTGTTAGAGAGGCAGTTGGTCTAATACTCCCCCCTCCACCCCACCCTCCAAATTGGGCTCCGGAACTAGTTAGAAGAAAAATAGTTGGAAACGTAAAAGGCAAGCCAGCAAGGTGTAGACCTCGATACACTTGGGAGGGTAACATCAAGGGACAGACGGAAACAGTCTTAGAGAGTGTACAAGCAGGGTGGGAAACAGAGCGAGTTGGAGATCTTTTTATAGCCAAACTTAATTGCGGAGACGGTGCTAACTGAATTTACCTTGGCCATTTATACCAAAACCTTGTTTTTACCTGCGTTAATATATTAGCATACATATAGGCCGATCCATCCATCCATCCATCCATCCATCTACCATTGCATCTATCCCTGAACATAGCCATCGTCCCACCCATTCATCTACCACACCATTTATCCCACTATCCACTCAGCCCATCATTCATTCAATGCTATTTTCCACCGCTCCCTTTCATTCTGGCTGTTACCAGCTTTGCGCTTGGGCTCGACTAAAACTTTGTATAAAAATCACCCTCACTGTCTCTATTTGATAGCTGACAGTAAGAAAGAAGCACTGTATTACTAGACCCAAGTTTTTACCTCACTTCCTATATAGACCGATCCATTCCATTCATACAACAATACAGTCATCCATCATTCCATCCATTCATCTACCCACGCATCTATCCAACGACCCACTCATCCATTCACTCCACCATCCACACATGCCCGCTTCCTATCTATCCTCCCATCGATCCTTTACATTCTGGTTGTTACCAGTTTTACGCTTGGGCTCAACTGATTACTTTGTTTAACAAGCATCCTTACTGTCTCTATTTGATAGCTGACAGTAAGAGAGAAATATTTTATCACGAGACCCTTGTTTTTACCCGATTTTAAATATGAACAATTCCATTCATCCACTAACATAACCATCCTTTACCCACCCATTCATCTACCCACCCGTCTCTCAACACCCTCTCGCCCACTCACCCCACCATCCACCCATTAAATTTTTCCATTGCTCCCTTACATTCTGGTTTTTACTAGTTCTGTGCTCGGTTCGACTGATACTTTGTATAACAATTACCCTCACTGTCTCTATTTCATAGCTGACAGTAAGAGAGAAGCATCGTGTCTTGAGACCCTTGTTTTTAACCTAGTTTCATATACTGGTACACATATAGGTCAACCCATCCATCCATTATGCTTTCCAACCATCCACGGGTGTGGCCATCCATCATTCCGTCTATTTGTCTACCAGCCCATCTATCCCGCCACACTCATCCATTCACCCCACTATCCACGATCTATCTGTCTATCTGTCTGTCTGTCGGTCGGTCGGTCGGTCGGTCGGTCGGTCTCTCTCTCTCTATCTCTCTATCTCTCTATCTATCTATCTATCTATCTATCTATCTATCTATCTATCTATCTATCTATCTATCTATCTATCTATCTATCTATCTATCTATCTATCTATCTATCTATCTATCTATCTATCTATCTATCTATCTATCTATCTATCTATCTATCTATCTATCTATCTATCTATCTATCTATCTATCTATCTATCTATCTATCTATCTATCTATCTGTCTATCTGTCTGTCTGTCGGTCGGTCGGTCGGTCTCTCTCTCTATCTCTCTATCTATCTATCTATCTCTCTATCTCTCTATCTATCTATCTATCTATCTATCTATCTATCTATCTATCTATCTATCTATCTATCTATCTATCTATCTATCTATCTATCTATCTATCTATCTATCTATCTATCTATCTATCTATCTATCTATCTATCTATCTATCTATCTATCTATCTATCTATCTATCTATCTATCTATCTATCTATCTATCTATCTATC